TTTGGTGGTGGTTTGTTGTGAGTGCTGATTAATTTGACATTTGTGCGTTCACAGAGATGAAGAAGGTTCACATCGAGGTGAAGGGAACTACTCCGGCAACACAAAAACCTGCTGAAGACCAAGAGAATGGCAGTGAGGAAGAAGAGGATGATGAGGAGGAGGATGAAGATGAAGGGGAGGATGAAGGAGAGGAGGAGAGGGAGGATGAGGAGGACAACAAAGACCGCAGCAACAAGATGAGCTCAAATAAAGCAGGAAAAGAGCCGAGCTCCGAGTCAAGCAGCGAGAGCGATTCGGACGATGACCGAAGCAAAGAGGAGAGACTTTATGACAAGGCCAAGAGACGCATAGAGGTACGCATACAGTCTTTTGCACTACACAAAGTGGACGCATTTATGCACACAAAGTGGAATCAACCGTGTTTTTCTTTGTGTTCAGAAACGAAGGCAGGAAAACCTGAAGAACATTAATTTTGGCAAGCTCCGATCTCCTGTGGTTTGTGTACTGGGTCATGTAGACACAGGGAAGACCAAAATCCTGGATAAGGTGCGTTTCAAAGTGCCTGATGTGGACTTCAGCACCTTTTTGTTTTTTATATTGTTTTCTTCTTCTCTGTTCTATCAGCTGAGACACACTCATGTTCAGGATGGTGAGGCTGGTGGGATCACACAGCAGATCGGAGCCACTAATGTGCCCCTGGAAACCATATTAGAACAAACCAAGATGGTGAAAAATGTATGTATCTTTCTGTAATGCACATTTTCTCATTCTGTTTTTCCATGGGATTTATTAAGGCATGTGTTTGTGTATTTGCATCAGTTTGTCAAGGAGAACGTGAAGGTTCCTGGCATGCTCATTATTGACACACCTGGACACAAGTCCTTCAGGTACACACTGTGCTATTGATTTTTGTGTGCCAAATAAAAATAATAGACAGATTTTATACACTACCATTTAAGTTTTGGGTGAGTTTTTCTTTTTTAACGAAAAAGATTCAGCAAGAACCCATTCAATTGATTAAAAATGATACTAAAGACATTTACAATGCCACAAAAGATTTCTATTTCAAATGAATGCTTTTGAAATTTTTTAAAGAAT